ATCCGTCGCAGGTTTCGCTGATTTTCGCGATTTGCGCGAAACCTGCGACGGATCGCAAAAATTGCAAGTGCCCCATTTGAACATTTGAAACACTGAATATGAAACAAGTGGAATCATGAGCAGTCGTCATTCAGCCATCACTATCAAGCAGAAGTGGCGGCGGGATTGGAGAACACCTTGCAGTTGATCGGGCACTTGTGATTTCCGTGACCCGTCGTCGCGTAAATCGCGAAAATCAGCGAAACCTGCGACGGATCGCGGACTCTGACACCAGCCTTACTAGTTACCAATGCCCATCAACTAGCCGCAAACCCACATAGCACATAGCGCCATTTCAACTGAATACAATTTTTGTCATGGTTTTGTTCACCTTTCGATCTTGTTCACCCGGCCTCACATTTTCAATTCGGGAGACCACTAGAGAAGGGTGCAACTCCAGTGTACGTTCCATATAATTCTCCTCATTTCTTCCTTTGTTTCTGGAAACGGAAAACGTTCCCGAGCAAATTGATTTTTCCCTGTTCTAGTGGGTGCTCGTCGTGTTATCTACAAGCCAGATCTATCGTGCGCCGATGAGAAATGTATCGAATGACTTGTAGCCCTCTCGTATTTCTCCTCAGCACAAAGCATACTATTTATTATTTATTATATTTAATATTTTTCCCGATAAGTTTGCTTCCAGGGCGAGATTTTTTGCTGTCTCTTGTGAAAACCAGATACTTGCCAGTAGTGCACCTACCTTGTAAGGTTTCCGAACGAAGGGTGGCTTAAGGTAACAAAAAAAGCTAAAACATTCGCGCCGATGGCAGCTCTACCAGATATGCATGCTCGTGGGACGATGGCAGCCCATTTGGCCTTGCCGTTGACTGCCACTTGCTAATATCATAATTTTGTTGGATTTCGATATTAGTGAAGTAATTAGGGAAACGTTTATAACTATTAGGTTGGTCCATAAGTCTTGCAACAAATTACATTTAATGCTAGAGAATTTTTGTGAGAACTCCGAAAATTCCGCAACATATTTGTTGACGTAGCATCACCTTTGCAATTTCAGCCAACCGTCCAGCTCGTTGTCTCGCTACTTGTTATGGATATTACACCGATTTCGCGAAAAGCTCTTCGTGCCCTTAATTTTTACGAGTACTGCTTGGAATGTTCCGCAAGTCATGCTACACCAAGGATTAGCCAGAAGATGGGCGAGGGCACGCTCTCTCAATTCACGGTGCACCGGCGCTTCACTCTGCTCAGCGTTGACTTTTTTATTTGAAATGATCCACACTCCAACCACCCTGTGACTGACAATCACGATGCTCTATCTGACGCTGTTGAAAGGGATCTGGATAGACTATCATTTGCTAGAGCAATTCCGATGCGACAAGGAGACAGCACTGAGGCATCTCAAAGACTTGTTAAAATCTGAAAATATAGAGTTTGGATCCCACACAGGGTCAAGCGAGGCGTCGAGGAAAATTTGGAAATACGACCCCCCCCCCTCCGCCAGAGGCCGAAGTCCATGAAACACCCTCTTCAAAAGCCGAACTATGAAAAGGTTGTTTAATTCTCCCCAAAACTGCTTCATAAAAAAGCCCTGCTACCCCACCGTCCACAAAAAAATCGTTTAAGAAGTACAAAAGTGAAAAAGTCAAAGAATGATCATTATTGATGAGTCCTACCAAACGAGCAAACGAGAAACGGAGCAAAAAACGACAAACTAGTCACTAAAAATGGCATACTATGACAACATCTCTTCTTTATTTATTTCCTTCACAAGACTTACCAAATTCTAGTACTACACAGATTATGGTTCTCAATTTACACGTCCCCCTTTCGCTTGAAGGAAGCCTTGTACCGCTTTAGGCCGATGTCATAGTTTGCGAATCGAGCGATTCGCTAGCGAATCGCTGATCCGAGCGAATCGAACGTTGCGCCAGCGAATCGAACGTTGCACCAGCGAGTCGAACTATGTACCAGCGAGTCGAACGATGTACCAGCGACTCAATAGTGGCGGGACCCAACGTTCAAAGGAATCGCTCGATTCGCAAACTATGACATCGGCCTTAGCCAGAATATGTCTGCCTTCGAAGCAGGTGTCAGTCAAATCAAAAAATATCTTTTCGTCATAACTTCTTTTCGTGGCAGCTTTGAGGATCACTGCTGTGCTCTGGTAACGCAACAGCTTAAGAAGACAGTGGTCATTCACTGTAAGATCGACCAGATTTGAGGATTTTTTTCAAGCTTCCAGACATCAGCCAATATTTGCCATGTTGTGAAAGATAGCCGAGCGCTAGGTCAACCGCGCATTGCGCAAATCTCAAAATTTTTTTTACCCCCCTCCCTTACAGAGGGCATCAGTACGACTCTCCACCCCTGTGTTAGCTATTTATGTCTTTTCACATATTTTTCTGCCCATCATCGAGGTATGGCCCGTCACGGATATGGAAAGAGGTGTTGTCCAGTGGGAAGTGATACGTCGCGCACCTTGTCTCGCTCAGAGGACGAGAATCGGGCGACATGAAATTCACTCGGTTAATAAAAATAGTTTGCAACATTTTCCATGCTTCTGACTATGCTTGCACTCACAGAGAGCTCCACTTTCACGAAACTGCAAAGTTCTTTAAACTTCCAAGTCTTTCTTCTCCATGATGAAGAAAGTGAGGAAACTTAGCCTTGCAATAAATGTGGACCTCTTCATTTGAAAGTACAGCCCAGGCAAAAGTCGTGTGAACGATTCCCTTCGGTCTGTAGGATAGACCCTAGAGGACAATCACAGATGTGGCATTCCCGTGCACGGAAATCACCGACAAGAGCGCTAGGGCCTTGCAAAGTAAGCTGCTCAGCTGCAATTTTTTCTTTATCAGGCTGTTGTCTGGCGCCCTCTCATCTGTTGCGCTCTCTCGCCTCATACTCTCCCTCTGCGCTTAATCTCTCACTGCCTTAGAACACGTTTTAAGCAAACAAGAGATATGGATACAACTCCACATACAGATTTTGTTAAGGAAAATGAACTTTTCGGGTTTGTTGCAGAGTTTTCCCAGCGAATCGTTGTCGGAGGTCTTGACACGACAACTCATCACAACCCCGACCGTAACCATCACCTTCACGGCTGTTTCTGTAACATTTCATTTTGGCACCAGTTGACACACTCTATATCCGCAGCAAAATAACCCCAAATCTGTGCCGTCGAGTGGGGGTGAATATGTCTAGAAACGGCGAATGCTCTCATTTTCTTTTTCTAAATTTCTTTCTTTTTTTCTAATTCTAAGCCTGTTACACGATCTTTTGTCTTTTGTCCTTTTGTTCTGAAGGTTCGGTTGTATCATTGGGAAAACCCCAACCAGAACGTTCCACGTCTTCCACAGCATGACACCTTCACCTTCCACGAACACGACTCCTTCAGAATTAATCATCCTTCGTCAACTTCAGACGACCGTTCGAAGGCAGTCAGCAGCTGTTTGAGAAAAATGAAGTTTCAGCAGTCCACCATTGAGTTTAGATTGCAGGAAACGGGAACTGGAACGCATGGCACTGATCGCACTTACTCAGGAACACGCCGTGCACTCGACATCTAACATCCGCACGAGGAGTGGTTCCCATTCACTCTTGAATAGGTTGTCGCCCTGATTATTGTTAATCACAGTACTTACGTTCTCTCCTCATTGGACACAACACGACCTCGCTCGTCGAAGATTCCTCAACGCAGGCTTGGCTCTGGGTGCAAGTGCGTACCTCGTCAAAAACAGCACATTAGCGCTACCGAACTATCTCAAATAAACATATTTATTAGTGTAAATTTGAACCAATAGTACAACAGCTATAGATGAGAAATGTGAATTTTCCGACGTAAACCGCGGCTATCTACAAGGGAGGGGAAATTACATTCACAAGAACAATAGCGAAATTCCTTGCATTGAACTGGGCGAGGAAAACATGTAACAAGAAAACATGAAAAGAACATGAAAACAGCCTCTTGCAATGGGAATTTACACTATTCTGAACAATATATCACGGCGAGACGGATTCATAGAGAACTAATTCAAAGGATTCGCAAATAATAAATCTCTATAAGGGGCCAATCTCTAAAAGCGAAATAAAGTTGACCCACGGATTATGCTGCAAGTAAAAAGGGACTGGTGAAGTAGTGTACAGTATAAAAGATTGTAAGGAACTCATATGAGAGCGTACACATATGTGGGGCCCCCCTCTACAGTAATCAACAAATCATTCATTACAGCGACCTTTTGTCCTTGTAAATTACAAAGCACTGGTAGCCTGCATAAAAATTTTTGGCACAACTTGTGCTATCCATCAGGCGGAGGGCACACACAAAAACAACTAAAAAAAGAACGTTCATGGAAAAAATTCCAATTACCAGTAAAAAGGAACGGGCAGCGGTTGCGGTTATATTTGAAGAAGGACGGTTTGCGGTTCAGGCGTAACATCCACAAGTTCACGATAACCAAAAAAACAAAAAAATAGCAAAGATATCACAAAAGGTTTACGGACTACTTGATTTTTCCTCAATGGTCCTGCCGCGATGGCTAGAGCACAGACGATTAGAGAACGGGTGAATGCCCTAGGACTAAGCCTTGGAGAGGAGAGGGACCCGCGAGAGAGCGCAGAGGCGGTTTAAAGGGCTGAGTTCAAGTAGTCCGTCGACCATCACAAAAACTTAGAAAACCTCCTCCCCATCTGTGCATTCGGCAGCATACGAATTCGGCATCGCCTGTACCTCATCGCTAGGCGGCCTGAAGTTCGAGAGATACAATTATAACCTTTCCTCCGAAGACCGACTCATACAAGGGAGGGGAACGTTCTTGCGAAATGACAAGGAAACACTACCAGTCGTGGCATTTCCTTTCAAATGTTCAGCTGGAGTGCTCTGCATGTGATCCACCGCATGCGGTGATACGTGCGACCGATGTACACCGAGCTGCGATTTGAGAAGAAACGCTCCACACCCCCTTATAAAGAGACGCTAACAGAAAGAAGCTAAAAATAACCCACTTCGTGTCACGCACTGGAAGAAACCGAGTTCGTTTCTGATTAGCTTCCATGTCAGACACTGTCTCGGGAGCATCCGATCCATTATGATCCATGCTATGGTCCAAGTCTGCAGTGTAAAACTCTGAGCAAAAAGAAGCTGGTTGACGGTTCAATGCTCACTGGGGTCACAAAAAAGACTCTTCACAAAAAGGTTGCGATAAGGCAAACCTAAGTGTCTTCCTTTGTCGAACTTCCCGCCTTCACCTCGCACACGGGCAAGTGCATGCTGATGGCGTGATTCATGAAGATATTTCTAGAGTTAAAGACAATTACAAAAACTGGCAATCTCGAATATACAACGTTCTTCATAGCCTAAACAAAACTACTTACTTGTCTCTTTTTTGGCAACCGCCCTTCCGCTTCCAATTTCTGCCGTGCTGCTCTTCTTTTGAGGATGCGATGATATTGCCGTGCATTGACATACAATGGCTCCTGAAAGACTACACGCTATTACGCTGCTACACTTGATTGTTCTGTCCAAATTAAAGTTGCCAAAACAGCCTAAATCAGTGTTCACCTCCTCCTTTGCCACAGGAGCTGACACCACCATGTAAGTTGTCTCGTTAGATAAATCTTCCTGTAAAGGCGAATATACAAGTACGCGGTGCTAACTTAGTTGGGGGGGGGGCACGCGGCGGCGCGGCAGTCTGCTCACCTGGGCTCTCTCGAGCGAGACAGTGTAAACTCGAACATTCCAGCTTTTCACGCATGTCCTGGCCCACGGATTTCCGAACATGCCAGGCGAGCAGACTGCCGCGCCGCCGCGTGCCCCCCCCCCAACTAAGTTAGCACCCAAGTACGCATGATACGGAACATGCAGATTGAAGTAAACTTCAAGGAAACCACATGGACTCACATCGTCAGCGATTTGAAGCACGGGTGCAGCGCTGTGGGTGCTGGTGGGCTTTGAGGACGATGACGAACCTACAATAGGTACTCTTAACTGCCCTGGACAATCCTTGTGTCCACTTGTTTTCAGCTTCTCGTAAACTAAATGCTGTAAAAGCAACATCATTCTTACCGGCATATACTACATTTTGTGTTGACGAAGCAGTTGATGTCGAGACTGAACTCTGGATAGGGACAAATGAACTGGAATCTGCCAATGTCATGAACTGCATTGGGCTGATACTATTCAATGCTTGGGTCAGCTGAAAAGAAGACAATACTGGTAAGGACTCATCATGGAAAAAATGCGTTAGTACACTAATAAAAATTATGTGTTCAACCAAAGATTCGAGTTTTTTTTTGTTATAACTCTTATTTCAATAGACAACCTAACCACTTCATTGGTGAATAAACTGCCTAAACCAAGGAAAAGTTTAATGATTTCGTTCTTTTCTGATTTTTTCGATTAATAAGAGAACAAGATTCACCCAAACAACACATTACAGCTATGCAGTCGGAACCAGTAGTAATGACAAGAGTACCGGTGTGTGCGACAAATGGCCATGATTGGTGATCACGGTAGTCAGCCAATCACAGCTGCCCCATAGGTGCTTACTCATACACACGGATGTAGTTAACTGCATCTCAAATAGTTCCCACTACACTAGACTTACAGGCTCGCCTTGTAGACTTGTAATTTTCACCCCTCAGCCAATCAGTTCCACTTACTTCATTTTGCCATAATAGGAAATAAAAAACACCAAACCGCAATGGAAGCAAAAGCCTGGAACAAGCAGCTTTCTATAACTTTTGCCAACCATGTCATTTTGTTCGAATTCGCCAACAACTGCCGACCGATTCCTCTGGGACAACCAATTTGAACGAAGGCAATGAATTAGCATTTTTGAGACGATATTGGAAACGAAAACGAGCTATCTACACTTTCAGGCCCCTGAAGGTATTTTTGTCTGATAAATAACGGAAGAGTCACGACCACAACCCAAGCCTAAGCCGCTCTAGTTGGAAGCAGCTTGCTGTAGTTGTTGCAGCGACCCATCGAAATGGCTTCAGCATCTACACATCTACACTAATCAACACCAAGAATTTGGAATGACTCGAAGGAGAAGGAATAGAAGACCCCTCAAATAGACGAATTTATTTGACAAATACAGAGAATGAGTCAAAGCGTAACATGTCCAGACCTCTGAAAAAAACTGCTCGACCTGACCGGAAATCGAGAGAATCTAAGACACGGAAAGAAAATTTAGTGAAAAAAATGATGTGGGATCTGGGCCATGTGGCCCCGGGGGGCTAGGTCGAAACATTGTGTCAGACTGACCGGAACGCTCGGATTTAGGACTAAGCCTTAGAGAAGAGGGACTCCTATGTGCGTAAGTAATTCTCATTCTCTCCGGAATTTGTCCCTCTCCGTTAGGCTTAGCCCTAGTGGCCCTCCTACAGACTGCCCTCCTTGGGACCACATAGCGTAGGGATTGCATTTATGAAACAAATATTCGCAACAATGGACACTGCGCTAAACGAAGTACGGTATTCGGAAGCGCTCGCGTCCGCGTGATTCGCGAAGACGCGCGCGAACGCGCACACTCGAACACAGCACTTGATTCACACGTACACTGGAATTTAAATGTTACACTGAACATATGAGAATTCCACTAGTTATTGCCATAGATTTCACGGACCAGGTAACCATGTGGTCATTTTTTCTTTGCTTTTTTGCTACTCATGTGAATATATTTTTGAGAGCCATACAGGAAACCTGCCGAACCGAAGTTGGTGCCAGTAAGGCAACACGTAAGTTAAACTTATTTCGGAAACACTATTAATCATGCATTTTCGTAGGTGATTTTTCTTTCATTGGGCATATGTCACTTTTACCTTAATAAAACAAAAATTAGAAACGATACATGCCACAATGTCCCAATCCGTGTTCTCAACAAAAGGCTGGGAGCCGTTCCGCAGAACATTCCGCAGATACCACACATCTACTGTCGCATATCACAAAACAAATCATTTGAGGCCGTTTTTCTGAACAATCGCGCACAAGCAGTTCTTTGGGCCTCAAGGTACTTTCCAGTAATAAAAAATGAACTGTGGGCACTACCAAGGTATGACAAAAACACGTTTCCTTCTCTGTGGCCAGAGTTACCGCGCGCGCACGGACTGAGGCAGAGGTGTTGCAAACAGTGTCGACCGCCAGTTATTACGATTTCGAATAATCCCACGACCCCAATCCTCTTGAGAGGAATCGGTGCGATCCCACCACCACCATCAGCCTAGGGGGAGGTCCCCATAATCATCCCCATGACTGTCACCCCACGCCCATCCCTCACCATAATGTCTGGTTTCGTAGTATATTATTGACAACAGTCGACGCACTCCAACCCCGCCCATTCCCTCCTAAACGTCTGTCCAGCGGGGATTGGGGAAGGGGATGGAGTTTCACCGAAATCGTCGAAACTGATCCCTCTCCCACTTCTTCCCTCTGCGACACGACACGAGCCTCTCCGAAAACCTGAGACCCCCCCCCTCCCCATCGTTAACGAACAAAAACTAGAATACGATCTCCCTCTTCGAACTTGACACAAAGAAGACGATTGATTCTTGCAAAGCATTCCCCCATTCCACTTCGGAGGTCCAGTAGAAGGGCGCGACGTCGCGCGGAATGATGCACCTTTGGGACAGGATTACTAGCCAAAAGGAAACGATCCACATGAGACGCTGTACCACGCGACCGCGTCTAATCTAAGCATGCCATTGAGCTCATTGATCCCGCGACCGTATCGATGGGCGGAAGTGATGCCTCAGCCACTTAGGTAATTTTTCATCCCATACCCTTGTTCGTGACAAGGGTACAGGATATTCGCCCACCGAACAAAAAGTCCCAAGCATTTCGGAAACATACACCATCTCCTTATCTCGTTTATTCCGATTGTGTTCTGCCACCCCTGCTCAAAAGCCACATAAAACTTTGAAATCTGGACTGAAATGGGACTTAGCATAGTACTGATTGAGGACTGTTGCCCATCAGCTCGACTCGTTCACAGGCCTTTCCTTTTAAGCCTGGTCGTATGAAATGGAGCACACTTAGATTCCACTTCTTCAAAATTCAAGATTCAAATTTAATGGCACACTCCACGATGAGTTTACATGAATCAATCCCTTGTATAATAACGTTGTGCACAAAGAGCAGGTGTGGCGTTCTCGCTGATCGAAAGTGTTCCACAAAGGCTCTGGCGTTTTGTTGGAATGCTTCTGCTTTCGCGATGCGACCGCCAATGTAGCGGGATGTCTGCGCCCTCATGTTTGTTGTGCTTCCCCGTCCATTCTCTCTTAAAGCTCGAAGTTACTCGACTAAGCGTAGTTCCCCTCACAAGAGGAGAAAGCCGGGTTTCTCCCAGAATCTCAGTCATTGTGGCTCAGTCCCGAGTTGTACTATTGGTCTACTCACTTCACTCTAATGTCCCCCTCTAAAAACATGAGCGCCCGCGGCATCATGAATGTCACCGCGCATGCGCCACCTAATTATTCCGACTTGAAAATACTACAATAGCAGTAGTTCCATGTCGAGATAACTGGCCAGGAATTGTCGCTCATGATTATAAATTTTCTCGTCCCACAGCAACCCTCACGTCTTGACTCATGCGCACTCTGCCTGACAGACTAATGGGGTTTAGCCGAATTCATGTAAATTTCTCCGAACTAGTATGCTACGATTACCCAAGTTAAGTGCTAAGAAAGGACGTTCATATATCACAAAAAAGGCAATATCGCATCACCAAGACCCTCGAGGCCGCGGTGTAATCTTCCAGGCCATAAAGAAGCTAGAGATGGCACATAACTGATTACTAAGAACAGATCCACTTGTGAAAGCCCAGTCACATTTTTGAAAGCCCAGTCACATTTTTTCAGAGTTCACTCAAACGCCTGCATTACCACGCCACTCAGTCGGGCTAGCGAGTGCGAGTATTTTGAAGGTGCAGCGAGGACCGTGACTGTAAAGAGCTAGATAACTGGCAATAGCAGGGCACACAAAGAAACTTAAATGACTTGAGCATCGGAGTGATTCATTACAGGTATATAGAGACCGTTGTCGTAGAGAAAGGAAAATTATTTTGAACACTTAAAGGAAACGAAACCTTAAGTAGTGAGTGAGTCACTGGTGGACGACTGAATCAAAAGTGTCAAAAATCAATGGTATTACCTTTTGTTAGTACCTATACTATTTCAGCGTGTAAATTCAAATTTAGCAGATCGCCGTGCTAGTTCCCCTCCCCCTTAGGTACCTTTATTTCAATTGTCAAATTTTTTCCGATTCCCAAGTAGTCGACTAACCAACTATTTACCACCAATTTTTCAAATGAAAATACGTATTTTGGGCGCTAGTATTAGAGTACTAAGCGGGGGAGGCCTATGTGGAGGAGAGGGAACTTCGGGAAAAACGACATTTGCTCCCTCAGTCCCACTGGAGACCTACATAGTAGGGTACGGTACTAGGAGAGAGAATGCTGGCTGTCCTGTGCTCTCCGCATGATCGCGTACTAGCTTGGTATTTTGCTTTCGGGTCTAATAGTGAATTGGTATGAGAAAAGTCAAACTATACAAACAAATCGACTCTTTCGCATGCCGTGTGCGCCACCATGTGGTGCACTTAGTCCGTAATGTGTTATCTTTGTAAAAGTAATTACCTCTAATAAGTCATCCTCGCGCTGAGAACGTCAAGAACAACACATGTGAATATTAAGCTAACCACTACTCGTTTCCAACACCTCAAGAGTAGCCAGCAACCCATAAGCTATTCTCCTGATTATGCAAGGCCTTATGACGGTTTCTACTTCACACCAGTGCTCAAAATCCAAAATAAAACTTGAACCAGTGGAGAACCCAACAACTTCTAATTGCAGTACTCGTTTGCCGCCTTTGCTGGTGACAAGTACAAGT